CTGGAAGGCAGCGAGATGGACAGATTGCACGGCGGTCGCAACGGCGCGGCAGATGGTGGACGGATGCTCGGCGGCGATGGGACCGGTGTAGCCTTGCAGCTTGACGTGAAGGTCGCTGAGGTGGGCAGCGGTGGCTAAGAGCTCGCGCTCCGGGGGTGAGACGGCCGTTGGTGGTGCGTTGGGGTTAGGGTTGTCGGTCCGGAGGAGAGGGGAGGGGTGCCCAGAGAGGGCGAGGAGGATTTCGTGGAGCATGACGACTGCTTGCTTCTACGACAGAGCGAGAAAGAGAAGACATTAGCCGTCAAGGTACCATAAATGAGTATGCAGGGGAAAGGAAGGGTCGTCACATTTCCCGGGGTTGTGGCGGCTTCTTGGACTTTGACTTTTCGCCAAAGTCACGGAGAAGCAGAATAAAGGCGCCCAATAGCTCGAAGCGACACATTTACTCTTCGGGTGAAGTCAATGTACAGGTAGCAAAGGGTAAGAGAAAACAAGAGCGACTGTCTTCTGGAAGCTGGTGGGGATGGAGGGGCAAGAGGAAACCAAAGGGCGATGATGGACTGATTGTTGGCGGATGGATAAATTACCTTATGCTTTGCCCGCATATAACTATTGTTCCTAGCACGAGCCCAATCGGGTTTCTCCCTAACACTGGGACACCAGGAAATGTGAGCCACAACAAGAACTGCGCCGGGCGTCAAGGACGCTCCATGCTGAGTGCCTGATTCCTTCCAATATCACAGCAAGTCGCATGGAGGAGACGGGCTTGCAAGTGAAAGCGCGACTCGACGCGACGCAGAGCCTAAAGTGGCTGCTTCTTAGGACCCGCGTCATCTGTCTTCAAATAGCACGTGACTCTGTCTGAGATTAGATAAGCGCAACCGGCACCATTAGCTGCAGTGTTCCACACCCACTCGTTCCACCGCTGGAATGGACGTACTAAAGGGCATGTTAACGGACGCAACGAATCTTTGATAGTAGCTTTGACTTGCTATTACTAAATTGGGCCGTGTTCCGCAGGTATACTCGCATTGCTTACGCTTCTGCGAAAGGAGGTGGAGAAAGGTAATTGCCCCTCTCGGGGCATGTACATGTGCACTGACGCTGATATCATCAAAAACCCCCAAACAACCAAACATACCCTTATAATGCCTGGGCTCCTGAATTTCTAAACTTTCTTTTCCCTATTTTCCGACCATCGGCCACTTTACCCTCATGGTCGCGTTCCAGTTGGCTGTTTGCCATTGCCTTCGTATGCCGTGTACAAGCTGGCCGTGTCGCTCTGGTCGTCCCTCCGGGGCTTGGCGTCTTCAGTGAGGGCGACAGAGCCGCCATCACCGCCTCCGACAATGATCTGTCCGCCACCTTTGACCTTGCCGACGACCATGCCCTTGGCCACACTCTTCAAGATGGCCCTGCGAGAAACACCCGTCACATCGATATAGACCAGACCGACGTTTTTGAACCCACCGCCGATCTGCCGCGACACTTGGCCAGCCTCGGCGCCCCAGCGGTGCTCCACCATCTGGGACACGCTAGAAGATGTGCCAGTCAGCAGGTTGCGACCAGCTTGATCGATACCGTCTGCGACGGTGTTGAACGCCATCAAGCTCCTGTTCAACAGACCAGGCTTGTAACCCTCAATAGGGTTGCCGTCCTTGTCGTAACCTCTTCCACCGCCGTCCTTCTTCCTGGACAGGGTAGCGCCCAGGTTCTGGGCAACTTTGCCCACGGCGCCAACCGTCGTCGCCGACAAACCGGCCGCCTTGGTAGAGAACTGGTTTATGCGACGGATGCGGTCGTGCGCCGCAGGCGTGAACGTCATGGGCTCGTTCGTCGGCTTCGTCTTCTTGGTGAAACTGTCAGCCGAGGACTGCAGGCCCTTGGTGACCAAGTCGGACGATGTCACGATGAGGCGCGACGCCTTGGAGGCATTAGAGACCAGAAAGGATTTCTTGTACGAAGGGTGCATGACCATCTCGCAGTATTCCTGCGACAAAGGCTGGACGGTAATGGCTTGGCTTTTGTCGGCAGGGAGTGTGATCTCCACCGGATCTAGCATGCCATGTGAGTCAAGCTCGGCCGAGTGGCCGCCGTGCTTACCTTTCGTGCCAGGTCTGACGCCCAGTTCCTCGTTCACTTGGTAGTTGTCCGTCAGCTCGCCAATGACACTGCCATCCTCCTCGTCGATGAGTACGATCCTGCCACCGTTGTTGGACGAGCTGTGGGCCCCCTGTGCGTAGCCCTGTCCAGGCTGGTAATCGGCCGGGTTGTAAGCGGGAAGACCGTCGGCGGCAGCAGCTCTGGACTTTGAGGTGGAGCTGTCGGAGACGGGGTCGTCATAGGGGTAAGCGGCGGCGGCGGCGGCGGCGGCGGCCGACTTGGACTTGGAGGAGGTGGTCTTGGGCGGCGGGGCACGCTCGAGGAAGGCAGTACATTGCGCAAGGATCGTTTCGAAGGTATCCACGTCTTCCTGCAAGCCCTTTCTGCTGCCAGTGTCTGGGAACTGGATGCGGGTGAAGGCCCCGCTGTCCGGACCTAAGTCCCATCTAGGAATCAGGTAGCTCGTCGGCGGCTGGTGGTAGATCTGGGTGGTGGCAGGAAGAGGGAGGTCAAGCTCGGGAGGCAGGTGCAGGTGAAGGTAGAAGTCCTCGGGCGGAGATTCTCCGCCGCCGGACGAAAAAGGCGACGAGGTTGGTACCATCAACAGCGACAATGTCTGAGGGCCAGCGGGAGTAAGAGACTCCTCCTTGCCGTTGGTGATGTGGAAGGCCTTGACGCCATTGATGGCGTACAAAAGCTTGGGGTCCTGGACTCAAGTCAGTGAAGCTGGTCCCAGGGTCATCTGGTTGCTCGCGGCCATACATTGTGTCCCGAAGCCATGGTTGGGGTGGTGAAGGTGGAGTGGGGTGTTGCGCAAAGCAAGCAAGCGTAGTGATGTCGCAGACTTGGCTACCTGAGGCCAGACCTTGCGAGATGGTAGCTTGCGGGCAATTAAGTGTCTCGAGAAGTGCCTGACGGTTATGGTGGTAAAGAGGTTTGATTAGGAGTCTTGGTGTCTTTTGGGTCCAACGTTGATTTGCAAAGTGGGAGGGAAGGGGAGTGAGTGGGTTTAGTGTGTCGAAGGGTTGAAGGGTTGAAGACTGGTCCAACGCAAGTCGTGACGGACAAATAGGCGAGGTAGATAACGCGACAAGTGGCACCAAGTCGATGCTGTGAGACGCTGTGACGACTGCAGTTGGTCTCTGGACAGGCAAGCTTGGGGTGTAGGGAGGGCGGTTGTGGTTGGATTGAACGAGTGTCGAAGCAGCTTGCATGGCGCTTAAAGAGCTGCTGTTGGTGGTCTACCGTGCTCTAGCTCATCGCGGTGATGGATGTTGGTACCGCTGGTACGTGCCCCAATCCCCGAGAGGCCTCTCAGCGGCGGGCGACGTCATTGGACGCGGCTTATTTCAAGGTGCTCCCGGTCCACTGTCGTCCCTGTGAACCACCAGAGGTACCCTCGGGGAGACCCCTTTTGCCCCTTCGACTCGAACAAATACTGGAGATTATCCCAGGCTTCCCGAGATCCAATCTGATTCGGCTTGTGTCTTGGTGTATGTAGCACAGCCACCATCAGATCAGGGTGCTTGGGGTACCCACCGAAGTCCGACGAGGAGCGAGCTTCTGATGTTGGACCTGTTTCGCGCGCGTTCCTCTCTGGCAGCTCCCACACGCACCTTAACACAACCCCATGCTGCTTGCTTGGCGTGCTCCACCCGCTATGGAGCTCGACTCTTGCTGTGAAAGGGGGCAAGGTACGTACCTCTTCGGACCCCTCCTTCGTCATCCTTTTGCCATCCCGCCATCGCTGGAGATCATGCAGGCAGATGGCGACAACTTTCATCATCTGTGCCAAGGCCTCGACCTGCCTCAGATCTGCATTGATTGCCCAAGTAAAACCAAGATATCTCACTCGGGGAGGCGAATTTTCGCTCGCCAGCCCTGTCCGAGTCGGATGAACCTTGCTGATTAGCTCAGCCACCCTGTGGCATCCTCTCCAAGCTTCTCGGTATCAAAGTGTGGCGGTGCAACCATATTACGAATACGGCACAACTTTGACAGCTGCCAATATGGTAGCTGATGACAATCACTGTTGGACCAGACGAGATAACCCGCAGCTTCCCACAGCAACCAATTACATCGAAGCATACGTGTACAATCTTATGTAGTAGTGCTACTGTCGCCTATTCGTAAGCACGGGCTTGAGGTGGTTATAATAGCTTTTATACGAAGTCCAAGAAGTTGAACATGCTGTGAGAAGCGCCTTGAATTTGGAGCGACATGTCGCCATCCGAAGAGAGAGCTGTCTCATCAGCCAAGCTGCCCCAAGTATTCATACATGAATGCCTATACCGCGGCCGATATCTAACTTCAAGGGCTTTCATGCGCCGGGCAGGCTCCCTCTATGGTTCTTGGGCCGGCTCTGTGGATTCCCACGACCCGTCGACCACTACTGTAAAGTGAATCTGGGCCCGCATTCTCTGATCCGAGCATCGTCTCGTGATACCAATCTGAGGTTAATATTCCTCTGTCTCCAACTTTGTGACCGTGTGTCAACACCAACGCTACTAAGAAGGCATTAATTGCCTTTTTCCAATCAAGACCGAACTCGTACTTTGCGGAGAGTATTTCATCTCCAATCGCTCCCTTCCTCTAGTCTGCGGTCAACACGAAATGATTCTCCCTAGACACATACAAGGTAGAGCAATTCCAGTGGCCTGTAAGCTTTTCCGCGACCCTGCCTTATTACCAGTTGAGTTTGGCAAAGAACCGAACGCATTGAAGCACTTGCGTATGCGCGCCTCTTTCTCTTCATCATCCGCTCCAAGCCGACTGGAGATGTACAACATCAAGTATTCGCTGGTATTAACCGATGTACCCAGCAACCAGGGCCATCGTTTACAAAGAGTTGATATCCTTACCTGCGACAACTGATTTAGCCTGGAGTGGTAGGCATCGCTTCTCGAATCGCCGACCTGCCAGTCCACAGGCACCGCTGTCCCATATTTCGTATCAATAACATTGTATGCCCATTTCACATCGCCTTAGAAGTGAGCATTCCCAAGATTTACCTCCTCCGATTTGGCTCTATGCTTCTTCACATGTCTCGAACAGGTCTGTCAGTCCTTTTTTTGTATGCTTGGCTGTCATACGCCGGATCATATCATCTAAAAAACCAGGCGATACAGTCCTTTCTCATAGATCGTTCACGTCTCATTTGAGTTCCTTTTTATTCAGTTTGATGTATGAGCACTTACAAACGTGAAGACGAAACAGTAGCGCGTGAGGAATGGGAGAAAGTCAGTCGATGGCCATCTTTCTGATTCTTGGCCCAACATCACACGAAAGACTACATGTAGTGATCCTACTGAGAAACACAGCGATACCAAGTTAATCGAAAACAACGCAGATGCTGATACATGCCAGGGCTCGAAGACAGCCCAAAGCTGAGGCATCACTGATCTCCCCCCAAGTAATACGGCACTTAGATAGCTGGAAGCCACTCTATCCTTGAGAGGGAGGTCTTTCTGCAATACCATTTGCCAGATTTAGGTCTGGAGGTCTCCATAAAGCCTTCACCGGCTAGCGATATTCAAGCTGTCTGTCACACGAAAAGAGGGACTCATTGCTGCTCGACCCAGCAGCAGATAGGCATATTAGGGTATCTGTTGCTCTTATATATGCTATATATGTCAGCATAGTTTATAAATGAGTTCAAAGTCATCGCTTTCGAAATGAAGTACATGCCAGAAACTGGAAGCTTCGGGCTGGGGCAGTTGAACATTGGCTTTAATCGCAAAGATAACTTGGAAGAGCCAATAGTGCCTGGAAGCCGTTTGATTCACGGCTCAACAGTCACAGTCCAAGACCTATGAATGGCCCCATCCGTACCGAATGAAGACCCTTGTGACCACGTATAACTTACAGAGCCTGAAGCAGGAGAAAACTACCAATCGATTTTCGTCATGCTCCTGACTGCCGTGGTTGAGGCTGCGTCAATCTTGGAGCCAACTCACTTCTGAAGAGAAAAGGCTCTTCAGGTTCCTCACTACCTCAGAAAAGTAAAAGCTAAGTACAGACCAAGGAAAGACGCCTTATCTGAGAAGACATTATTACAAGGCATTTATTTCACACCTAACGTAACCTTTGATAACGTAACCGATACATACATGGTCACTCTTGAGATCTAGACGAAATCCTACTTGCTACGAGAAGCATCGAGGAATGTAAAGGGTCTCCCTAGTTGGAGCCCTTGGCTCTTGGACTTTAACGTCCAATTGCGTGTCCTAGGCATCTAAGGCATGGATATATCATATCCGTAGGTCTTCGGCACTGTTCCTAGAGATACAGGAGAATAGCCTACGAAGCACTAAGTCTAGCTATGAGGATTCATATATATAACACAGACGGTGTCCCTGAGCGGGAACTGAACGCCATGTGATCCCACTGCTCTGTATTGTCGTTCCGATTATTCGTGGATTCTGGAGCCGGCTCCCACGTTGGGTCCATCATGGTGCGAACGGCGAGAGTCTACATCGCAGGGTCGCCTTGCTGTTCTCCAGCATTTCATCAACAATATCTAACCAGTCATGCTGCAACTGTCCGCAGATATCGCGTTGCAGGAACATACTCCAGAGCAAAGCTCCCCAAGGTGTTTTCCACGACTTTCCTGGCCTATGTGGGGCCCGGAAGAAGCCAAAGACGGGATGGTCAGCTCACCTCAAGCCAGGACCGAAAAGACTGCTGCTGCTTGGAAAAACAAGGTATGGCTTTTGCCTGGCGCGCCTCCACACAGAACCCACGTGTGAGCACGAACGCCAGCAATTCTGTTGTCGAATGACCTGGTCTGGCTCGCCGTCGATACGCAGAATATGTCCTTCGGGCCGTCTATAGATAGTCTGCTTTTGTTTTCCCATTACCCCCCTTATCTTGCTACAAGCTTTGGATCGTCACCGGACGACCTGGCCAAAGTGGCGTACACAAAAAGGCCTCGGCAGATGGCCAGCGCCGTTCACTTTGCCTTTTTGGCCTCTTCTTCCGGTCCAGGAGATACGTGCCTGTCTTTGAAATGTCCGCTTGGCACTATCCGGTTGGCATGCATGAAGGCCCCGCATTCAACCACATAAGGAGACTATAGAGTAGAGGGGAGAGGTGGCTGCGCACCAAACAGATACCCTTGGAGCGACCCGTAATAGGTTGCCCACATGACTTGTTATCGACGGAGGCACGCGGTGGACAAAACATCATCACACTTTAACACCACCCATACTATTACAAGCAGCATGATACCAAGTGAATCGATATGCTTATACCAATCAATTAAAGTTAGTACCAGGCTATTCTATTTCCTATCAACTACGTTTTCCCTCTATCTTGATTACATCTTGCAGTCTAGTTAGTATCCAATTAACACACTTGATAATAGTCCTGGGGTGGATGTGGTGTGGGAAAGTACTGAAAGTGTGTCATTTTTTGTCCACCGCTTGGGAGGCTCACAATCGAGTCCTGCAGGCGAGACTTTGCAGACGACAACTTTTCCACTACGGGCCTTCGCCTACATCGGGAGGCGAGAGCACGGCATGTGTCGGATAATCTGCAGGTGCATACTGCACAGCACTACACTTAGTACGTTGCCAAAGGGCACGGTGATTTCTCTATTCTTTACATCTCGAATGAACGGCCAGGGCTGATGGTGGAAATGGCCCGCCCGATATCCTTCATCTCGCCTGTGTGAAGGCCCTCTTGGGGAGGGGATCAATTGCGCTGCCTGAGAGTGAGCCGCTGCTTGCGGGGTTCAACGCGCGTCTCTCGGCATAATGTCCTCAAAAAAGATTAATAAGGAGTTGGCCTGGGTGTAAACGCAAATGATGACACTCAGAAGAAAGTATGGTGGCCGCAGACGGCCACGCAGACTGGGACTGGGACTGGGCCTGGGCCCTGGTCCCGAAGACCTCTGAGCGTCGTCGAGCAAGCGTGTCCAATAATTTTCAACTTCAGCCAAGCTCGGATTCTAGCCAAGCACTTTCGGTGGTCTATACGGATACAGCCTTATGAAATGGCAAGAGCAAAGACAAACAAGCCACCATCGTCTCGGTAGTCCAAGCCCAGCTTGCCCTTTTGGCAGGCAGGAGGAGCACTTTCATGCCCAACGCCGAGCCGCGTTCCTCACACCACAACCTTCCAGGCCGTACCCATTATTATTGACTGCAATTGAGCGCTCTTCCGAGTCCAGATCCGAATACCTAATGCAATTTGTGATTCATGGTTTCATGGAGCTGCAGGCCGTCATCATCACTAAGGGGGAAACATCGAGCAGAGGGCAACACTGCGGCCCCAAGAAACACATAATTCAGCCGCTTCTTCCGCTATCAGGAATTTGAAATGCTTTGCTAGCGCCTCGCATGGCAGAGCAGAATTTCTCCATCAAGAGATCCCGGCAGGCTCCGCTTGCGTGCCTCTCTTGTCAAGGAAGCATTTTTTTCATTTCCAGTCCGACCCTTGTTGGCTTTCGTGGTGCTACTCTGCCTATATTTCTTGTTCGAAATGCCGATGGCTTGATGGAATTCGGCGGATGAAGAGCCAATTAGAAGAATACCGTCATTTTGGGGTGGGGTATAGCAACCGTAACGCATACGGAAAATTGTGATCAGCCAAGTACAGACAGACAGGTAGGAGCAATGGTGTAGTGCGACGGGGTACATGTTTGGCGACGCCATCCTGGGGAGAAGGAAAAAGGGCGCTCGCTACTGTCTTAACTCTAAAGATGCCTCTTCCGCAATCTTGTTAAGCTTGGCATCGATGGTACATCGATATGGGGGTTGGTCGAAAAGCTGTAGGTCTTGTTATCAAGGCAATGTCTAATCTGTATATGCTCTGATTGGGACTAGAACTTGTGAAGCCGAGTCACTATGAAGATAGCGTGCGGACATTCCATAGCTGCGTGAAAGAGGATCTAGCTAAATAAGGCAAAATCAGATTCTCGGGACTAGTGCCGTCTTTACTGTGGTAAATCAGTGTTTTCATCCAGAATTCGGTGTCGGATTTCTAAGCGGTGTGGAATCAAGCCTGGCTGAAATGATGGCAGGGGTGGCGGCCTAGCCAAGCGTCGAGGCAAGACATTGACTCAGAATAGCACGAGTGGGCAAGTGTGCGGCAGTTGAATGGAGACGGACTTTTACGGACTCTTTCCATGACGAAAATAAAATAGGGATTGTGTCAAAGATCAATGGAAAGCGTTAGCAAGCCTAGTTATGTATGTATATATATATATATATATATATATACATATATATTCTCCTACGTAGAATCTTATAGAAAACGATGATCTTGTCACAACGAGGGAGCGGCGAAACGTCAACCCGGCAGCGGGGTTCTCTCTGATCGCCAAGCGGACATGCTGAGACAGTAATAAGTACACGAGAGCTCTCGAGCGCATCTACAGTGAAGCGCTGAGACGGAGAAGATGAGCTGGGCGGTTTGTCTCGTGCACAGAATTTTTTGAAGCGAGTTGTGGAAGCAAGAGTAGCAGTCGAAGGAGAGTAGAGCATAGGTAGGTAGGTGCACCTTTATCTGTATACGTATATATCTGCTTAGGTAGGTACCCAAGACAGACAGGAAAGGAAAGGAAAGGTACTTGGGTATATACCTAGATACCTACCTAGGTAGGTAGGTACGCCCACCCAAGTATCCGTACCTAGTAGGTAATGTACAGTACCGGTAGGTAGTTCAGCATCATGTGACAGCCCACTTACCCAGATAGGTTAGGTAATTTGGCCTCTGTGGTTACACGGAAACGGCGCCTGTGAATGGAACCGCCCTTCGTACCTACCCTAAGGTACGGATACACCTAGCCCAAACTGCCAGGCTGGAAGGAAGGAAAGAAGCCAGGTAGGCGGTTTGTGTAGGTATCTTTCCAAGAGAATTAGGTACGTACCAATGCTTGCGTCCCGCTCTGTCTGGTCTGGTCTGATCATCGTGAAGTTTCTTCACCGGCACGACGTGCCCCCATATGCAGAAAGAGATTAAGATGGGCTGACGACCTGCATGCCGACATACCTCGGATTGTGATCAGACATCGAACATTGCCATTCCTAATGCCATCAACCACTGACTGGCAAACCCTTGGCATCAGCAACTGGCATGGCATTCATCCCTCCGGCTGGCATTCTCTGTCTCGTTTCTCGTGTAACCAGCTAAAGCCTCCGGCCCTCCCCTGTCTTTCCCTATGAGACACTACTGCACGTCCTGGGATTGTTGTTCGGCCACTCACATTGAAGCGCAGCTACCTCCGAGCCAATCACTGCCTTCGTACTGTCAATCGAGACAGTAGATACCCAAGCCCTGGATTCCCAGGCGCAGACGCGGAAGCCGACGCAAAATCCGAGTTTCGTCTCTGCACTAGACCGCGTTGGGAGCGAGCCAGCCCCAAACCACCTGCCAACAGTCGACGACCGAAGATCGGACCTACGGAACCATCCGCTTTTCTTCCTACTTGACTACCTACCTATTCTGGAGCCAGGTTGAAGCTTGAGTGACGTTCGAATATGGCAAACGGCCAGGGGTCATCCCTTCTGTATGTACCGGGCCATGTTTGTTCGCAAAGGAACGCAATACCATACACAGACTCGTCATCCGCCGTCGTCGCCGTCGTCGCCGTCGCCGCCGATGCGTCTTCGGACGAATGCCTCGCTTACGTATTCTATCTATGCTATCGATTGATTGCCGGCAGAGGCAAACCGGAACAGGCTTCCACCCTGCTTTCTTTCCCACTCACTCCGTCGGCCCCCCCTCGCGGCCATAAGGCGTCGTGTCACGATCTGATCTACCCGGGCAGTTGGCTGCTGTTGACGCAACCCACAGAGTCAGCCAGCATAGCTGATGCCGCCGCCGCCGCCGCCATATGGCACAAGCGGCCTTTGGGACGCTTTGGATGGGACGCTTTGGAGGGGATGGGTTCCACGCGGCGCGGCCCATGTTGTCTCCTCCCCACACACGGCACTACGGATAACCTAAACAAATTAGCAAATGCTCAATCTATCTATCCCTTCCCCGGCCTGCTCCCTAGAGCCTAGATAGACTCTTGAGTTTCTGGCCTGCGCTGGCGAACGGGGCTCCCGTGCTCCCCGACCATGTCGTGCACTTACGACGCAATACAGTGTAATATGGGCCCGCTGACTGATGTGATGTGCTTGCCGTCACTTGCTTCTCTGGACGACCAGCACCTGTGGCTTAAGATAACGTAGCTTGCACGGAGGAAGTTGGAGCCGATTACAGCGCTGCGGAGGCGGCAGAAATAGTGACCATGTCGGGCCACTTTGAGAGCTGTTCCCACGACTGCCCATATCGCATTGAGATATGTCGATTGCCCCAAGATGCGGTGTTTTGGCATATTCCGTCCTCTCCACGTTATGTTCCACAACATCCGTTCCCGCTGCAAATCAACAGTTCGGATAAAAAAGATGAATGTACCAGGATTGAGCCCAATAGACCCCCCCAGTCGTCATGCGGACCCGGCCGAGAACCAAATTTGGACCTGGCTGTGCCAGCAAGTAACAAGGCAACGGACAAGATTATCGGACACGAATAGTGTGGCCACCCAGATGCGTCCAACTAAAAAAACTATTTGCCCAGCGCGCGTCATCTGAACGATGGTCGTGCAGTGGTGCTTCGAGGTCTCAAAATGCGATGCTCGCGAGACACTCGGCGCCTTCGCCGAGAGACATATTGCGCGCTGTCCCTATCTTTCCTTCCTCGACAGAGAAGAGCTTCTCTTCCTGGTTGACACCGCCCGAAATTCTAGCATCCTTGCTGACCCAATTACGACCTTGCTTGACCTGGTTATCGGTCTTTGAATTGGTCCCTCCCACCAATACCCGCCTCATTCCTCCTGCGCGTGGGGTTGATCAGAGACATGGGGCGGCAAACTCGCACAACGCTCACCACTTTTTTGTGTTTTCGTAGCATTTTCTCTTCCAAAGTCCAGTACGGCCTGAATGACAGCCACAAAGAGTCAAACCGTCCGCTTTCGCTCTAGGCACCATCGATCCTGCCGATGCTGGTGGGGAACTTGTGATGCGGGAAGGCAAAAAAGCTATAACCCATACATAGTATATCGCAAGAGAGACAACAGGCAAGGGAGGGAGGGAGAAAGAGTGAGCGAGAGAGAGAGAGAGAGAGAGAGATGAACCAACCTTGTTAGGCTGGCGACACGCCCTGGTACACAGTCAAATTGGGCCGACAGCACGGCCAGAGCCGATCGACCCTTTCCCACCCTCCCTGCCCTGGCCCTTACACTTCGCGGGAACGCAAGCTTCAGTCTACATCATTGCTTATTGCCCTCTCTGCCGGGCTGATATCTGCCCCCGACCACATTGCATTCGTCGTCCTGCTTCCCTCGTCTGCTCGAGTGTTGCATCCTTTCGCCCTGGCACGCGCGCGTATTTTTTCTACACAACGACTTCGTCGTCATCACTCTGCAACAGTCTCTATCACCACTGCTCTTACTCTGTGCAAGCTCATCTTCTCAAGCTGCCTACCTGACGAAGATCCGCACGTTCAACTCCCAGCCACGACATCCTCGCCAGTATTTCTTCTTATTCTTTATTTCTTTTTCTTTCATCTTTTTACCGCTGCGACAAGAAAGACATTGGGCAACGTCTGCCCGAGAACTGATCACATCCGCTACGGTGATTGTCGCTCCGATTCCATCCAGTCACCGACCGGCGACGACCAATTTTCCGGCTCACTGCAGGCGTCTTGCGTACTACCCGAAGCAAACTCCCTTCGGTTACACAAGCTGTCGACATCCGTTACTTGCGCATCTTTGCTGTCGCACTTTGCTCAGTCTTTTTATCCCCCAGACCAACCTCTCACGAGCATAGTCATCCTGGCTTCGCGCGGTATTCCAGGAGGGGAGCCCAGTAGTGCGTGGTGCAACGAGTCTGTCCTGTCCAGGCCTCTGTTCTCAATCGTCCGCTACCCCTCACTGGCTTTGCGGGTCTACAACGGGCCCGAACCGTCAAGATTTCCTTCCAACTTCGCATCCAGTCCATACTCTCTCCCGCATCGGACTCCGATGACGCGCCGACGGCATCCTCCACCCAGACCACACCGAAAAGGAGGCCTCAAGACATCTTGCAGCCCTCGGAGAGGGCTTCCGTACCCTCGGCGGTAGTAGAGCAGCGTTCCGCCGGAGGCAGGTCGACCGTTTCCACCGTGCCCGACGACGATGATGCGAAGCCCGTGGTAAGCGGCGGCTCGGGCGCCAAAAGACCCTCAAGAGCCATGCGGCCTCCAATGAGGTCCAGCATAGCGTGTCTTCGGTGCAGGAAATCCAAGATCAAATGCGACAACGACAACACAGGATCGCCCTGTGACACATGCATCAAAGCAGGCCACAAGTGCGAGTTTCCGGATCCCACACCTCTACCAGCAAAGCGAACAGAGCCTCCTACTGTACCGAGACAGGACAAGGACGCCGGCCATGATCGAAAACGGGTGAAGAAACTCGAAGAGGCCACTTTTTCTGAAGGACGTACCGGCACTGTCTATGCTCAGGAAGTACTCTCCGCGCCATACTTGACCGTGGATATGTGGCATCAATTGTTGGACATTTACAAGCTGCACTTTGTTACCGAACTTCCTTTTCTACACCTCCCGACGTTGAAGGGTATCATCCACAGCAAGGACACCAGCAAGCCGTCGGCCGAGTCGAATCTCGTCCTGCTAGGGATCTTGGCTCTCACAGCAAGGTTCCAGCCCGAACTGGTCAAGTATGTTGCTCACATATCATATGACAAAGTAGCAGGCCCCAAGTCCCGCGGTGCATTGCCCAGGCCGGAGCCCTCCATGGCATCGGAATACTTTGCAAACGCTCTAACCAAAGCGTTAGGCAGCCTGGAGTCGGCTTTGACCTCGGCCACTGTTGTTCGAGTCCAGGCCTTTCTTATGCTCGGCTTGTATAAATGGAGCCAGCCCAACGGCGGGCTGGCTGCATGGATGTATGTTGGTGTGGCTATCAGGATGGCCCAGGGCCTGAAACTAGGCTTTGGTGACATACCATTGCGGGAAAGAAAGATTTTAGGTCTCCTTCCACGGTCAAACCAGTCCGCCGCACACCTTCCGTCGGAGAAGTGGAAGGATCAGGAAATCAGGCGACGCACCATGTTCAGTTGCCTCACACTTGATCGGCTCTTGTCGTGTGGATCCGACCGAGTCTCAATGGTACGATCCGAGGATCTCCAGATCCAGCTGCCTTGCAACGAACACGCCTTTGATCTCGGCCGCGTCGTTTACACCGGCTTTCTCCGGCAAGTGGGAAGAGAGATGGAGAGACCCATTGACGACAGTGTCCTCAGCCGTTTTGTACAACTGGTCGACTTTTGGGGAGACATTACAAAGTACAGCTTTGCAGGAGGCCGCCATACGGAAACGCTTCCTCCTTGGGACACAGAATCAATTTTTTACCAGCTGAACAACAAGGTGGAAGCATTCTTTGCCCACCTACCGGAAGAATTCACCTGGTCCAGTGTTAACTTCTGGAAGCACGACAACAGCATGTACGTGTCCCTTCACATGTTGGGGGCCCTCTGCAAGATTATGCTGCACCGGGAATACATACCTTTCCTTGCCATCAAATGCCAAAAGCCAGCGGGCCCTCTCGAAGAACCCGTTTTCGATCCCTCCACTGTCCCGGAGCATTTCTGGGAGCGGAGTGCAGAACAAGTCTTCAAGGCAGCGAAGGAGATCATCGACTTGATTTTGACATGTCGGGATAAGCTTCCTCACTCATCACTCGTCATATTTGCTATTTGGCAAGCTGCGATTGTCGGCATATACGCTCGACACTACCCGCACATGGATACCGAGAATCACATGGTCAGTGAAGAAGAAGTCCAAGAGCGGGCTTCCGGAATGATGCCTGAGATGACACAGACGGGAAACACTGGCGTCGCTTTCCAAGCATTGACCAAAGTCGTCCCTCACTTCAACGTGGCCTCTAATTACGTGACGTATTTTAAAGACATTGACTGGTATTTCACCAAAGTTTTTTCCGACTATACAAACCGAGAATCGAGGAAAAGCAGCGACGGACGTTTGAGTATCCGGCTGAGTGGGAGCAGCGGCGGGCTCGAAGACTGGCGAGCAAAAATAGACAAGATGACGAGCAATGGCACAATACTGGAAGAAGACCGACCGACAGGCTACGAAGGATCCGACGGATCGCGCGCCAGTACGTTGGAAAGGAGCTCTTCTTTGGGCCCCGAATATTCCCACTTTGGCGCCAGCGGTCTTGACAGCAGGAGAGATTCTCGACAAGCGTCGTCATTCACCGCCATCAATACCAGTCCGTTTAATCAGCAAGCCGACCCAGGAGGCTTTGCCAGTGGTATGCCCCGTCACTCGCCAACACAGAGGTGTCTCCCGACCCCTGAACCCATGGCTAACGGTTTCGCGATCGCGGGCGCCCACACAGAAACCGTCAATATCGAATCGTACGTTGAGCAGAACCAGGGCCAACGATTCGGCACCATGCTCGAGGACATTCAGGAGTTTAGCACCGGGGGGATGGTCTGTGTGCCCCGCATCGGAGACTGGGGTATGCTCAGGCCGCCATTCTACACGCAGATGGCCGACGGCAGCAGCCAGCAGCCGTAATTTGGTAGCAGCTGCACTTGAACCGAGCGTATGGGCGGGCACTGGGGCCCAAAAAGTTCAGCATGACTTCAACGCCCGGGTTGTAGTGGTTGCGCGCGCGCGTGTTTGGAACAGATTTGCAGGCATGTTGCGTTTACATGGAGTTTGGTATGAAAGCTACGGCTCAGGCTTCCTCGATGCCTTTTCCCGTGAGGGAAAGCTGCTGGCCAGGTCTAATAATCACAAGGAGAAACTTGTTGCGCAAAAAGAAGAAGAAAATCAAAAATGCAACGAACGCGTTGCGCCGCCTTGATGACTGATACCACGTCCGCTACCCTCCAAGTCGCGATGGCACACACGTTTGCCACCTTGATGACTGATGCCATGTTCCCGCCATGTTTCGAGTTTGGATACCAAGGCGCTTCGGCAAGCGCAAGCCTGGCACCCCCACGCTTCGTTCACATCGAAGTGCTCTTCTCACTACGTTCGACCCCCAATAGATACACGTGGACTCCGGCGAA